GTTGCGCATTTTTGCGGTTTTTAAACTATTTTGCAGCGAAATTAAACGTGTCACAATTTATTTAATTAGTGTGAAATTATTCGATTTTAATTATGTGCTGAGCTTAGCATCAGCGACAATAAAAACAAAAATAGCCACCGGAARAAGCAACAAAAATGTGAAAAATTATGATTCAGAAATTGATTGCAGCAACAAATGAGCCGAATATTTCATTTTTATTGCCGAACATATGCATTCATACACACATGAACAGTAATGGCAGCTTCTACATATGYGACTTTATATTCTCGTGTCAAAACTTCAGAAATGTGCTTGACAAATGGCAGCAAAACTGCAGCGGCCAACAACCGGAAGTGAAAGTTGACGTCTCACAAGCGGGGAAATGGCAAAAAATACAGCTGCATGCATGTAACTGTAAATGAGAGGTAGACGTGCAGTGGCTTATTTACGGTGGGGCAAGTATTTTTGCAGCCCAGCAGGGCAAGGATTCATTGGTAAAAAGGCAGATACTCTTGGCCGGTCACTTGGTCACTTGAGACCCATTGACAATTTTTAAGAATTTTTCCAATTTTTTCTTTTTATTGTTGTAAGCACTTTGGGGAAACATTTTCATAGACGTTGTGTGTGCGCCTTTTTGTCTGCCTATGCGGATGACTATGCAGTTTTTGGCCAAGTCTCTGCCACTTGTCTGCCCACACGAAAATTGCGAGACAAAATATATTGCCTATGCGGGAAAGTCTGGGAATATGTAGGAAGATGTATGGAAATGTCGCCATAAATTTGAACTGGCTTCGTTTTTCTTTAATAATATGTTTCCTTCTTTTATTTCGCAAGCAGAAAAAGCCCTCGGAGCGTAAGAAAAATATGATATGCTGCTTCAAGAGCTGTGGAACTTTAGTAACTGTAAATCATTTTTGGTTATATGAGAGCCTTGCGCTCTCAATGCAAGTGAATGAACTGAACGTGAATGCGACGAAATTTGCGGCAACCGCTTGCGAATCGAACAGTATGACTATTGGAAGCTAGAATAAGCAAGGCGGGCCCGCTTTAAGCCTGACTGCAATTCCGGCATTCTTTCCCATTGAACCCTTCCATAAAATAGTTGTTKAAGCGAAATTTAACCCATGTCGTTTCAAATTTTTTTTACGTCTAACCCCTCTCTGGGTCCGCTGGTYCGTTCCATTACTTAGCCCGAAATGCATTTGTGAGTAATTCATTGCCGCTTGGTAGCTTTCATAATGGCTGTGTCAACATTGTTGCACCGGAGATCTCATTGTTGCGTTTTATGTGCGCTGCAGTTGGCAATTAGTCGCTCCGTTGTTGTAATGCTTCGYGCGCTCATTACAACTAGCTCGCTGTTAATGATGGCGCTTGTAAAWGCGCCTTAAAAGCTGCCAACGCACAAATCATCATGGAAATGCGAAACTGTCCGCCATTTATCAAACGTCGCTGTGACCCACAAAAAGGCTGCCTGCCCCAATGGTGCGCTTGTGTTGGCGGCGCTGGTGGTGTAGAATTGCAATGGATTTTATTTCATTCAACAAAAGCTAAATAAATATTTGCGAATGCATTAATCAACTTGCGCCGCGAAGTATGCATCAATGAGGCGTTTTGTTTGAATAAAAAACACAAACCCAACCATTTTGTACGTATTAATTAACAAAAATAAATTACGTAAAAATTAATATTTCTATCCACTAAAGYTTTAACAATTTCCAAAAAATTGAAACATAAAAAAATTTCGACTTGTTACATCAATCTTTCGAAAAGTAAATATTTTCCCTTCKGACTTTGTGCTGGATTAATGTAATTAGATTGAAAATTTTCAGCTATTTGAGCATTTTACTATGGAATAATATATATTTATATGTATTCAAGTACTTTCTTTTAAAATAAAATCTCAAAAAAGCACATCATTCTCTCACTTATTATTTAAGTACGACGAGGCGTTTATATAGAATGAATTAAATGCTAAATTAGTATAGGTAGTATTAGGAATTCAGGCTGATATTTTTGGGAAAATACCTTGGCCACCAGGTCATGATTCAACCAAATCCATATACGCCACTCTCTTCATAATCCGTGTCGGTGAGAGGTTAATAGTCCGTAGGAGTTCTACAAAGATGTGAATGCAGTAGGTCATTTGGCCAGGATGCACCGTGTAGAGACGCATCTGCACTATCTCCCTATTTAGTTTCAGGGCGTAAAAGATCAGACCTAGCTTTACATTAAAACGTACTAGTAAATTGAGCTTTAAAAATATGGTTCTGAAGTTTGGCTCAAACCCGCAATTTTGTATTAAAATGTCAACAATAATTTCTTGCACATTTCTTGTCTGAATATAGAAAAATATTCTGTACTCTAAAAATGGGCCACGTTAGAGGACTCTAGCTATCCTTAGTTGCTATTCTTGCCACATTTTAAATCWCTACAACGATTCTAGATTCGTGCTAAAAAATTACGATCATCACGAAATTCGTTCCAAAAGATCCCTACCAAGTATTTGTTTTCTGTCGATCAGTTTTTATGGCAGATACATATATGCTAAAGTGGTTCCATATCAGAACAGAATTGCACATCGATATCTCATGGCCTAAAAATTAACAAAATAGACTCAGTTCGTCTCGCTCGCTCGCTATATTTTAGAGAATTTCAAGTATCCGGGATGTTACATACCTCTTAGCATACCCCTATTCAGGGTACAATTACTCTCGGGAATATTATATTTAAAGATTTTCGTATTATGTAATCTGTGATACATATTAAAATATATTCATTCACATTCACCTAAACATGTGTGATTTTGATTATCATTATGTTACTGATACACTACTCAAAAAAAGATCATGTCATCAACATGAAAAATTAAATCAAATTTTGAATGTACTGGGGTCACTGAACATAATATAGGGTAGTCGCAAAAGTCTTTTCGTATTTCTAATCAAAATTATTTTTTTTTTTAATATTTATAATGAACTTTAATGAACCAAATGTGTACCATTTTGATCAACCCCTTTTTGCCATTTCCCCGCTAGTGTCACCATTCCATCAACGTAAAACTTTTTTGGTTTCTCGGCGAAAAACTGTGACAAGTAATTTCACCCAAGCTTTACTCCATTACGGGAGTTCTGCATTGACCGAAACAAATGGTAGTCCAATGGTGCAAGGTCATGGCTATATGGTGGATGCATCAAAACTTCCCAGTCAAGCTCTCTCTCAGAGCCATCATTGATGTGTGTGGRCTAGCGTTGTCCTGAYGAAAGACGMAGCYCTTTCTGTTGCCCACTTCTGGCCCACTTCTGGCCCCTTTCGATTGCTTACTGCAAGCTCATCAGTTGGTGACAGTAAAATGCAGAATCAATSGTTCGACCAAGCTGAAGCAGCTGATAGTGGATGATTCCTTTCCAATTCCATCAAACACTCAGCATAACCTATGGAGTCTTTGCGTTCATTTGCTGACCTTCACCACACTTTGACCATGGTCTTTTTCGCATACTATTGTCGTAGTTGATTCATTTATCGTGTTCTGTTTCCATTCGCCTCAGAAAGGGGTCGGCTTCATTTCGTTTCAGCAAAGAATCACAGATTTTAATTCGGTCCATTAAATTTTTCACAGCCAATTCAACGGATGCAGCATCGTCTCCGTAAACTTCACAAATTCCATTAGTGACTTGCCCTTCTTCTCTTCCTTATATAAAAAGTTCAAAACGTACCGAATTTCTTCATTGTTTTCACTCGTTTTTGAACAGCTGTAACTTTTTTTAAAATTTAAATTTTAGTTAAATGAAGCTTAAAATCTCACCTTTTGGTAATCTCACGATATGGTAATACATAATGTGATTAATAATACTGGAGATATGCGACTGCAACGAGATACGAAAAGGCTTTTCCAATATGGAATTGAAGAATAATGACACGTTAAATTAGTTTGAGACATAAAACCATATATTTTCTTAAAAAGTACAAACTTCAGTTACATTTACAGAATTATTGCATATTTGGCTTCTGAAGTTCGATTGGCGGAGAGATATCTAGATGAGAGTCCAACACCTGTGTTTTTGAAGTTATACTAAGTATTTGTAATTTTCCGGTGCATTTTTTCCTACAAAACTTAGGACAAAGCTCATAAAACATTTCCACGTCAGTCTTTTTGTTCATTAAGTTTTTCTSCAAATATMTTATTCTTTATCAGCTGCCGTATTSKCAGACCCAAGACCTTCTTTACTTTCTACTTCGCTGAAATTGTAGAATTTCTCCTTCGGGTATACTATCTATTTGGATGCTTTGGCTTAGGTAGTTTGGTATTATGTAGGAAGAGTCTGTGTTTTGTTTAGTTCAAACGAAGATAATAATAACTTAAAAGATCCTTTAATCATTCATGATCATTCTACACACACATAATTTACGATRTAGCAAATGTATGTATGATGTAAGTTAGTCCAATGCCATGTTCTACGGTCGAATAAATRAAAATAACTTCAAAAAGGACATCAAATATGAATACACATGGAGCTGTTACAAAAAAGAAATAAAAACTGAACGGGATTGAAACGAAAATTTTATTTATTATTAACAGAAAAATCACAAATAAAATTTTCCCTGCGAAAACTCCAACAGTTTACAGTACAAAGAGAACAAAGCGCTGGGTGGGCCTGAACACCGCTAAACACCTTTTTAATTATCATTTAGTAATAATAGTTTTGTTCTTTTTGATTAAAAACCAAGTTKGTTTTGTGATAAAGTTTCAAGGCAAAAAGGTTTTCCCGGAATATTTTCCCAACCTCAAAACAATGGATCCCTTGATCATGCGGTTGATCAACACACACACAAAACCGAGAAATTGGCTACCTGCTTCTAAAGCTCCTGACRATTTGAAGGTCGAAACAATTAAGCAGGTGTAACAACAACAAATGGTGCTCGACAGTTCTACCTGTTCGACAGGTGATAAAATTTGAGATCCTCTGCATTTCATTATCAAATCCAAACAATCTTCGAACGTCTCAATATCTTAGAAAATAAATGGCAAACAATTCTGTTCACAATATGCCAAATATAAAYTCTTCTGCAGAAGGAGGTCGAGGCCTCTCCGTAGCAAGCAAGCAGTTGAAACGTCGCCGCGAGTTCGAAGCTCGTTTCATTGACGCCAAAAGGCAGCGCACCTCAGAACCAGAAAACGATGTGGTAATTAGACAGYTAGCTACATTCCAGTTATTTATGCTTAGCCTCACAGAAGCGGCTAGAGCACAACYGCTCGAACCTCAAGAAGGAAATGCGACAGTTCCTATRGTTATAGCAACAGTAGACGAGCCCCAAGAAGYCAGCACCGCCMAACTGCCTAGAGAAACTGCAGATGGTAATTCCGTTATAATTGGAYCAAATGGCACAACTGTGAAGAAGGTCGATTTTGATAAGAMGCGATGGATTAGCGCTTCACTTGCCACACGCAGCCTTCTTATGTTGGTRTTCGACCGGCAGACCCTGRCCACTCACACACTCAGCGGCAAGCCCTCMCCCGCTTTCCCTAACCACCATATAAAGCCTCCGCTGGACCCCTTAAAGGTAACCGATGTGATTCATTGCATTCAAAACAGGTTCCAGTGCAGCGAAGAGCATGTACGTCAAATCATTACCATGAAGTGCGCGGATGTGGCCAGAACTAGGAAATCAAAAGCAGATTACAATATAAATAAACCGAAATTAGCTTCAGAAATATAATGCTTGATATGTAAAATTAGATTTTGCTAAAATTTGCARTGTAATGTATTAAAATAAAATGTTGTAAACACAAATTTTGTGGTCTACATTTTCGTATAACACAAAAAATTTTAACATCAATGTCTTTCGAATTTTGAAAATCATAAAAACGACGTTACTGAAGAAAGAAAATACTATTTTTAGTTGTTGCCATATTTGTTCCATTTTGTCAATCAGTTTGAAGATCCAACGATTTTTTTATTAGGTGAGCCAGTGTGTGTTTGGCTCCTGCAATGCTTTGTATTAAATGATTGAGCTGCAGTTCTAACGTCAAGCTCCAGACTGTTTTTTGTAAAAGGATCTTTGTATGCTAAAGATCATCAATCTACTCTTCTCATTTTCTTTTACAACAAGCTTTTCAGAATAATTATTGCCAGAAAGAATTAAGTTATATCATSGCTACCTTCAGCCATGACAATGAAAATTCCCTCTGGGAAAGTGAGGTCAACTGAAAAGTCCCGGCTTACCACACTCAAAATCCGCCGATCCTCCTACTTTTCTATACCATTTATATAGTATGACTTGTCCTTTACTTCAAACTAGACTTCAGTTTCGCCGATCACAAGGATCCTACAACGGAATTTTCTGTGAGCTTTTTTCTTTTTGAGATCTGAGAACAGAACCCCAAAATTCGCTAGGGTTGGAATTGGAGAACACGAAGGATGTTGCTCTGAAGGTAGTCCATTGTTCTATGCGCATTCCAAAATAAAGGCGGCATAACCTTGCCAGCTGGCTGTTGTGCTTTCCCACGCTTTGGAGTGCGTTCATGCGTAATCCAAACGGATGACCAGATGACTGTCGATTGCACTTCGGAATGAAAGGATGGGTCCATTGATCGATATCGACRCAAAAAATCTCCAAACACTGTCCCGAATCATCAACTCTTCGTTACTCTGGTAAAAAGTAAGCTCGCACGGAAACAGCACAGAGCTTTCTCATACCCAAATATTCGTTGCTATCTTGAGGACGCCTGCTATCTCGAATAACTTCACCTAGAATTATCTTGTAGACTTTTTTGATGTTTTTGAATGACGACAACCTCTTTTGGGCGTTCACTGCCTACGGTACTCATTTCACTACGTCTAAACTAGCATACCAATCTTTGGTGAGTGCTTTTCCTAGGGCAGTGTCCGAAACTCGTCATCAAGCCAAGTTTTTGCTTCAATTATATTTTTTTTCTTCAGATAGCAATATTTTACCAACACGCGACATTTCTTTTTATCTTTCTCAAGTACAAAATTTGGGGGTAGACTTTTCACAATAAATAATAAAATAACAATTCAAAAAGAAAAAGGAAAARATTAATTCATCATTTAGTAATTTTCAAGGGAGCTGGATTAGGAACCARCTTATATTGTTAAAATTAATTTGTTACCTGAATCTAAAGAACCAATTAATTGAAGGTCAAAATAATTGAAACGGACTCATATACCTACTGTTGGTAAACTTCACCTGTTAGACAAGGGTATAAAATATGCGATCCCTTGCATTGTATCTTCATACTCGTACAAACTACAAACGTGTCAACATCTCCCGAATTCAACTACTGAAAATAGCAAAATGTCTGTAATAGTCCGAAGCCGTGTACGTGAATTGTGCGACGCGTCTTATCATGGACCTTCCATAGCTAGCACCCAATTGAAACGTCGCCGCGAATTCGACACTCGTTCGAATGACCCCAAAAGGCAGCGCACAGAAGSGCCAATTCTACATCTTCCACCAAATCCGATAAAAGATTTGGAAGAAAGTACGATGAAAGATGATGAAAGCAAAACCGCAKACAATTTTGAAGCGCTCAAAGCTGCAGCTGCCGCTGAAAACTTAGTTGTGCTTGRACCCAAKGGCACAACTGTGAGAAAGGAAGATTTTGATGCATTACAATGGTTGAACGCTGCACTTGTYACACGTCTGCTGTTGATGCTGATATTCAATCAGCAGACTTTGGCCACGCATACGCTCAGCAGACTCTCGCCCGCTTTCCGTTGCCAGGATCGTTTGACGAAGCCATCATTGGATTCTGTGAAGGTCTCCGATATCATTTATTGTATTCGARAAAGGCTTGGCTGTTCGGAAATGGAAATTCGCTTGCCGATTAWAATGACGTGCTCGAACGTGGCCAGATCGTTCAAAGGCAAATGAAAGCCCTAAGGGGCTATACAAGTGTGACACATGRAAAACGTACTTTTTAAAAGAAAGTACGCGATTGAATACTTCGAACTTATAATATTAAGGTATATTTAAAGATTTTTTTACAAAAATGTTGAAAAATAACAGAGTTATGGGCTGTCTTCGGAGGTGCCAAAAAAAGCGCCCCAACTGCTGGCATGATTCCAGCGGAATGAGTAGCTAAAACAAAATTTTTTATTAATTTTAAAGATATAAGCTATACGATCTTTGAAAAATATCAAAAATTAACAAAATATACACAAAAAACGTAATTTTGAAAAAAAAAATTAAAGAATGGTCGTTTTTTAATGCCAAATTGACAATTTTCAACCAATCAAAAAGRCCGTAATACATTGTATAGTAAATGTATTTAAAAATACTCAGCTTTAATTTGAAGTGGATCGGCCAATTTCTCGTTGAGTTATACTATGATGTCATCAATTTTGAAAAATGTCGTTTCGAGAAAAACGCGTTTAAAGTTCCACTTATATATATAATATTTTCACCTCTCAGCGGTCGCTCTTTACAATACTGCCAACCAAAAACTATCAAGACAGCATCTTCCCGATTCACAGGATATTTAAGGAAATATAAGCTATCGAAAAACAAATAAATTTTTTAAATTGTCACACTGGCATAGCCCCTTWATTAATTAGACTAAGTTGAGGTTTCATATTTGATGTAATAAAATTAGGAGAGCGTTAACATTTATATTTATTATTCTCGTTCTAAAGGTTTTGGGAGGGCGGTGTAAATGAAMTTGGGTTTTTATATCTTGTAACAACTAAAATTATGAAAAATTAGTTTCCGTGATTTGCAAATTTGTAACTTTGTGGGGTACATTTTATTTATATATTATGAATGGTTTTAGTTAAACTTTGTTTCTACCTTACTTAAATTATATGCGATGTAAAGGTGATCAAGTTCGTGGTTCGCACTTTTGTTAACTCCCGGTACATTTTATATTTTTATGGACCTTAAAATAATTAAATTATTAATGTAATAATAATCTAGTACTTGGCAAATAAGTTCATCTGTCCGTGCGCCAGGTTGTCAAATACTTAACTACGTTCCTAAGCGCATTTTCGTATATGAGCTTAATCCCTCTTCAACACCTTCACAACACAAGGAGGCGTAATCTCGTAAAAGAGCATACATTTTAATAAATCCCTCAAAGCACTTAGTATGAAGTACTTGYGACATAGAAATTGACTCAGTGATGCTTACTTATACTGAATCTCGGCTGGCCACCTAATCACCGTTGCCTTGAATTTGACATTTGCTAAACTACACTGGGCTTTGACTCTCGCACACGTTAGCTCTGAAGCACCAGCGTCACTTAGAAAAGCGATAATTTGTTCACAGCACACTCACACACACATTTACACTGACGTTGGGCACGCAAGTGTGTTGCGTTGGCTATTTCCAATTCTACATTAGCTCAATGTCAGACAGAAGTCGAAAAGCCGGCGGCGATTACCATAAAGATAAGAATAAAAGTCGAAAAGTGAACCAATTACTGTCCGACGTTGGTGTGACCCAGAAGGCCGCAAAGCCACAAGCACACAACTCCAGCCGGCAGTGAAGCGCGAAGCAGCCTGCCACATCCACACATACTCTCACATATAACTACGTGGACACAGTTGCACAATCCTTCAGCAAGTTCACAAAGCAAAAAGGAATTCACTGGAAATGGACTGCAATGAGGTGTGCGCTCCCAGTTCACACGAGTGTGCGAGTGGCTGATTGGTTGCCATGTGAATGGTCGGTTGACCGCCTGGATTGTCGGTTAATGCGCAGTGTGTCAGTTTGAGTTCATCAAACAGCGACAGCAGCAGCTAGGCATCGGCTGATGCGGAAATGATTTCATGATGTACTCTCACATTGACTTCTTCGCAYTGAGCCGCCGATCAGGGTCCAGGCAGCCGGCGGTCAGCTCATTTTGACACAAACGCRTTGCGATTGCGATAAGTTGTTGCTGATTGCAATTTGTGTTGCTTAAATTTGAGTKTATTGTGGTGACCGTTGCAGGCGCACAAAGGAAATGTCCCGGACAAGTGGATGCCAAATATAAATGGATGTGAAATCACGAACTATTCACGAGCTAAATGATCGCAACAATAATCTGTTTGAGTTAAGGAATTTTTTTTTTTTTTTTTTTTGTTTACATTAAAGCTGAAGTTTACATGTCTGTTGCTTTTAATTTAAATTACGAAATTATTCCACAACTTGACTGGCGAAAATTTTGCGAGAGCAGAAATCATGTGAACACAAGATTCAATTATTCCTGAACATACATATATGCAAGTCCCGCTTTCATTTTTAATGAATATTCCATGTAAAATAACACAAGTCTGCAAAAAAAATTGAAAACTATGACGATTTTTTTGCGTTAATATTTTTTTTGGGTTCGCTGCATCGGAAAATGGCTTTAATTWTGTCATAAAGGTCACATTTTCTGACAATGTAAGTATCTATATTAAACAAGTTGTCGTCTTAAAATAAAATAAAAAAGACTAAATAAATGCTAATATTTATAATTGCGTATCAAAACTTATTTTTTTTTAAATTACAGTTATTAGTAAGCACTAAACACCTTTATTTTTCTCAGTGAGACTCCATTTGGTACATTCTCGCTGGTAGGAAACATCTGCAAGGTCGCTCTGAATCGTCCAACAGTAGTCTGCCATCATTGAGACGCACCTTCTTCATTGGTATCTTTTCTCCATTTCCTTAATATGGTGGTGAGATCATTCCCCTTGCTCTTCACTCATATCTCCTAAATTTTCAGGAAA